TCTAGCAAGAGAAGAATCTTAATTTCCATTTGAGCAAGAGAACCGAATTGAAACTTCGCAAGGACATACCAAAACTCCCATCCTTCATAGGATACTTCAGATGTTTCTAAGCTTCCAGGTGGTACTTATGCTCACTCACAAGAACCTTATCTTGTGGATATCTCCTCTTTCCCTCTCTTTGCTTTTCTATTTTGTTTTGTGAAGGTGTTGATTCCTTCTGAGGGAGCATTCTAAAATTTGATTAGCGATGATCTTTATTTTGTAACTTTATTGGCACCAAATCCATCATAGTTAATTGATAATTAAATTGCAACTACAAGTGGTGTACTGTCCTCCTATAGGTTTACTAACAAGAAATGATCTCTCTCTCAGGAGATGGAAAGATCGGGATACGAGGAATATAGTAGGAAAACCCTAGCGGAGGCACTAAAATGTCAAGGTATTTATTTGTATATGCGCGCCTTTTTACTTGAGATGATATAGGTCTATAGCATATATTAGAGCACTTTGAAATTCTATCTTATTGTTAATTTGTTTGATATTTTCTTTCTAAATTTAAGCCTGTATAATTTGATAGACTATCATTATTTACTTCTTTGACTTTTTCTGTCTAGCTTTCACCCATTAGACTCTACATTCAACTGAGATAGCCTTCTTGCATTTTTATTTTATGTAGTGCCTGAATTTGCTGTAAGGTTACTGAAAAAAACATGGAATGTGGAGTGCATATAATTGTTTGTGCACTCTTGGAAGGGGCAAATATATCAAGCCAGAGAATGATAGTTATTGTGTGTTTCTTCTTTTTAGTTACTTAAAATTGTAGAAGTGTAGGACTATGTTCTTGTGCCAAAACAGAATCCCAAAATAGGCAATAGCATTTTCTCTTTCCTAAGAATGTAAACTCGATTATGATTTTTTAATCTAATCCTGCTTTGTATTATGACTTTATTTTTGGTTTTCTTAGGGATCCTTATGACAAGAAAATCTAGAACAGGGAAAACTAAATAAGAAAAGGCTATATACATTTAAAAGAAAAATAACAAAAGGCTATGGGGGAAAAAGATTTCATAGAAAAGTATCCTTTTTATACTCTTAACTCTCCACTTGGTTCAAATCTTATTTCATTCCTAGATAATTCCTTGTTTAAGTTTCAACATTTAAGTAATCCCACGATATCTTGAATTTTTTAACTCAGCGAGGGTGGAATCCAATTCCCACATCTCAAGGTAAGAATGGAATTTCACCCCTTGGAATTTAAGGGAGGATAGAGTAGCTTAAACACACAGAAAATATGTACTTTTACATTCTAAGACTTTTTTTTGGAATAGAAAAATACGATGATATACTCAAGAGCACTAAGGGAGTACAAACCCAAATAGAAAAGTACTCAAGAAATCAACCAGGATATCAATTAAATCCTCCAAATTCTCGCTTGTATGAAGTGAGTGATCCCTTAGCAAAAACCTGAGTCTGGAACATAAATTTTTAAATCTATCAAAGTTAGATTTTCTCCCTTCAAAAATTTTTCTACTTCTCTCTTTACAAGTAACCGAAAAGGTAGCTAAAGGAATAAGCTTTAATCTCTTATCAACTTTGATGCTACTCAAAGTATGTAATTCCTTTCTAACTAAACCAATACATCCAATCCGCTCCCAAGAAACCATAGGCCAGAGACCAAATCTGATGAGCATATGGGTAGGACAGAAGAATGTGGTTGCAAGATTCTCGCTACTTTTGCATATAAAACACTTGTCCATTAAGCTTTCTCTTAATTAACTTGTCCAAAGTAAAAATACTTTCCTTCCCAACTTCCCAAGTGAAGCAGCCAAAGCTTTCTGGTACGCCAAATGTGGAAATCTAAAGTACCTCATAGGATTGCTTTTTTTACTTAGGAGACTAGTCGGGAGTGCATATTAACTACTGACATGTTGATGAAACAGGGACAGATTTGGGTGAACAGGTGCTATTTATGCCAGATGCTGAAGAATCTTGCAACCATATCCTTTTGCGGTGTCCAATTGTCTCTGAGTTGTGGTGTATGATTTATGGCTGTTTGGGAATTAATTGGGTTATTGTGGGGTCGGCTAAAGAGGAAATTTGGGCTTCGGAAGAGTTATATTAAAAAAGATTTTGTAAAGCTGATTCATTGACCATTTTCTGGGTCATTTGGAAAGAGAGGAATAGTATGGTTTTTGAGTGTAAAGAAGTAGAAAGTTTTAGATTGAGAGATAGATGGTTTTATTATTTTGAGTCTATTTTGTTAAGACATGACATTGTTAAGGATGAAAATTTTGGGAATGTCATTGATATACTAACGCAATTGTAAATCTTTTGTATATGGGTGGTGTTCCCTTGATACCTTATTAATATACTTTCACACATTTTATTTTTTATTTTTTATTTTTTTTAAAAAAAGGCCACCTAGGACTTACTCTAACCTTCCAAATCAGGTTGGCCGGAAGGTCGTCATGATTTCTCATCGAATGCCAATAAAATAATTTCTCCAAGAAGATACCTAGTGCATTTAACTTCCATATTGGTTCGTCTCTATGATCTTGGGACACTTTTATCTTTGTGAGACACCTCAACAACCTCAAATACTCATAGATCTCCCAGTCATTTAGATTTCTAACAGGTACAATTGACCACCCCACACTCCCTAGGTTTTTTTTTTTGAAAACAAAAGTATAAATCTATTAACAAAGCACCAAAGGGGTGCAAACCATCTACAAAGTATTTACATGTTAGTAAGACAATCTATTATATACCCAAAATTCTTTACCCTATACAAATCATGCCCAATCAATAAAGATCTAAACAATTGGAATCATCTATCCATAATCTTTAAAATATCACCATCAATACCATAAAAAACCCTCCTATGTCTTTCCTTCCAAATAATCTAAAAGATAGTCAAAGTAATTAAACTAATAAAATTTTCCTTTTTGTCTATCCCCTCCCACACCCAAATCTCCTCCCTAATCGAACCAGTCATGACCCAACTCATCCCCAAAAGGCCATAGCTCATAGACTAGATATGTTGGACAGCCAGACAAAAAAGTAGTAGATGAGTGCATGTTTCAACCTAACATTTACACATTTAGCAGCTATTAACCAACACATTTCCATGCAAAAAAAAGCAATCTTAGGCAGAGTCTGAATCTTCTAGGGCCTGAATCACTATCAATACCATCAAATACAATACACTCACTCAGGAGTTTACAAGAATTCTTTGATGGTGGCTTCCTTGAAACGAGCTAAAGCGAAAACATTAGGAAATTGATGAATCAAAGTCCTTCCCTCCATCAACTCATCTCTCCAACAGCTCACTTTGCCACCTTAACACATTCTCTATTTAACACACTTCTGAAAGTCCCCTTTCATTGAAAGAAATTTCGTCTAAAGACCAACCACATGAGGACCTCTAGGGAAGTGCATAAACCAACCCTTCGATCCTTACTATATTTAGTGATTAATACTTTCCTCTAACAACTTCCCTCCCTCAAAAATGTCCGTAACCACTTCCCCTGAGGCGCTTTATTATCTCCATCCCTATCGTCTTTAGCAATTTTACATTCTAAGACTTACATGCAAATTAAAACTAGGACTTAGAATGGAATGGGAGTTGAACCAAATGAGATCTAATAGTTCTATTGAATAGTCATTTTGGTAGTTGAGAGTGTGTTAAATGCACGAGGGAATTTCTAAATTGAAAATATTGGTCGCAAAGTGATATCGATTCTAAAAGTACAAGGTATAATCTAGGTACCTACTGAAGAGAATGGGATTTGAGGAGAGATGGAGGAAGTGGGTTAGGCAAGTCTTTCCTTGTCTCACATTTATAGTTTCATTAGTGGTTGGAAGGAGGTATTTTTAGGGAAGAATACCCTCAGATCTTTGCTATTGCCCAAAAAAAAGATGCAATGATCTCTAACTCCTTTGTGGATGTTCAAGGGGTCAAGAGGATTTGACAAGTTTTTGTTTTGAAAATTTAAATGATTAGGAGATTTGAATATTCAAAACTCTTAAGCACTCTTTCCCCTGTGAACTTGGATGGAAGCAATGATAATTCTCAATGGTGCCTTGCTAAGGATGGGCCTTTCATAGTCAAGTCTTTCTACAAGCATTTGTTTTGATATGAAGAAAATGGTACAAGATTTCTGGTCCAAAAAATTTGGGAGGACTACTATCACACCATTGTATTTCGTTT